AACATTCAGAGTCCAGTTTGATGAATATTTTAATAATTTTTCCTCCACATCCGCTCTGGATAGGTGAGATCCTGAGTCCAGCAACAAAGAGACAAATCCAGAGCCAACTCAGAAAGTACAAAATGTAGATTCTACCACGTTCCCTGAAACCTCAAGCGAAGAAATTGAAGAGCTCACCACTGTTACCATCAACAAAAATACCTCCCGCTCGACAAAACAGTGGTTGAATGTATTCAAAAGGGGGTGCCAGTCCCGCCATCTAGAAAATGTAAACATAAAAACAATGGCACCGGAAAAACTTGACAACATCCTGAGCAAGTTCTAAGCTAAAGAATAAAAAAAAGGACGGAGATGATTGAATAACAACAACAATCTCTTTTTGTAATCACTCTTGCTCAAAAATAAATCACAACAAGGAAAATATTAAAAGTAAAAAGTAGAGTATGTGTCTGCCTGGAATAACTATGGGGGCTAGTGGAGCCAGGCAGCCAGCCGGAATCCCAGCCACTGAAAGGTATTTAAAGGAGAAGAATTATCCACTGAGTGTCGTCAATTAAGTAAATTGTTTTAAAAAACAGGCAAGTTTTAGATCGTATTCTCACAACAAAAAGAATGAATATATGGAAAAGTACTAAAGTACGCTCAGATTTTCTTTTTATGAGCCACGTATTTTGAAAAGAGAACATTAAAGACAGAGTAAAATTATTGGAATTAAACGTTTTAAATAGTTGTCTAAAGATAATGACGCCCAATTTGCGTAAAACAGGTCTTTAAACTGAGGGAACTTAGGAGAGAACTTAGCTCCTAAATTTCCAGAGCAAGGGTGGGCCATGTCCTTCGCTCCACTACCCCCCTCCCTCCCCCCATGGAAGCACCCCTCTGGTGCATATTTTTTGCCTTACCATCATGAATGGTCCCTTAATGCTGAACTAAAATTTAGGGAGAACACTGAATTGGTGTCAATCAACATTGTAAGAAAAAAGAAATGATTAATATGTAAAAGTGTCTTGGGTTTTAGATATTCTCGCAACTGAAATTTTGCCATTCGATTAGTTATATTTTCCTCTTTTTTTCTTATAATCCCTCACCCTTACCCTCGTTTTAGCAACACCGAAGTTTCACAACTCACAAGAAATCCTCCACGTGAAGGCAATTTCTGTGCGACAACAAGGAACGACCACCACTGGTTCCTACCAATCGCGTCTAACAGCAAGGTCAAAAGCACCAGCTGGTTTTGCAGGATTTCCACCAAGTTGTTCCTCACAGTTTCAGTACCGCATGGCAGCTTTTACGTATCTCATACCGCCGTTTCCCTTTTAGCCTGAATTCATCCGATTACTTCGAGTCGTTATAACAGTCAAGGGAGGGAAAACACAGTCCTATTCAGTAGTCGAGCCCCAGGGAACACCTAAGTTCTTCTTTAAAATCCCTTACGTTGGGCACTTCTCAGTCACGGCACAGAGCCGAGTATATGCAAGACAGTACAGGTCTTCGAACGTTTTTAAACATCTGCAGAGTTCAGAGCCTTTTTTTCTTTTTCCACCTGAGGCTCCTTTTTCTATGTCACTGCCTTTGGTTTAGGATGCAACCCTTTTCTTTAATTACATCAACAATCAACACCCCAATATACGCTTTACAATGGAGCGGGAAACTGACTACGTTCTACCTTTCCTAGATGTCCTAATCAACAACACTGACCCACACCAAAGTGTAACCACCGTTTACCGGAAAAAGAGTTTCACAGGTTTGCTCACCAGTTATCTGAGTTTTTGCCCCTTTACCTACAAATTGGGGTTAATCAAAACCTTGATTCATAGAACTTTTAAGATAAACAACACCTGGATGGGGTTCCATACTGACCTTCAAAAATTGTCTGTCATTCGTCCACCGGAGACTTTCGTATTTTCGATTTCTTGGTTTTCATCCCTCTCCTCTAAGTCAGGAAGAACATTGGACGACCAGATTTCTGAAAAAAGAGAAAATACCTGCATGCTGCAGTGGTTTCCCTTTCTTTGAGATCGAACAGCTCAAAGACTCCGCCTAGCGGGGGAGGCAGGTGAACTTGGTAGTTTGTTTGTCCTGACGATCTTGGCCATCGTGACGTCACGAGGAGAGAAGCGCGCCTTCGAGGAGTTTTCGAAAATGGCGCCGTTGCCATTTCCAAATGCTACTTTTAAAGTTGGTTTTCCTGGATATTGAAGCCCCAAAATGGTTTTTGTCACGGTAGGATAGTGCAGTTCCAACATCTCTTTCCGAGAAGGTGAGTGAAATGTGTATTAATCCATAAAATAACGCGCATGAGAGCTGTAAACAGTTTCGGTCAATTTCCTCCATTGAAAAAGTTTTATTGTAGGTGGCTCGACCCAGCCTTTTGGCAGGTACACCTTCCATCTTTCAGAACGGATGTTTTATGAGTCAAATGAGTCAATGAGTCAATGAGCCAGATCTGAAAAAATAAGAGTTTAGGTAGAAACAATAAAATTAAGCATTACTTTTACTTAATTTGTCTACTTGCTTCATTGCTGCCTGCACATGCAAGGCCTATTTCTGACATGAAATCTCAACTTGGGCTGTTTGTTAGCAGTATTCCAGGCCCTGCCGCTACCACTACGTGCATGCCCCGAAAAATAGCCTTCCCAGACACCCTTCAAGAACCATTTAAACCATCAGACAATCCATACTACTAGAGTGTCCATACCAGAAGTGAAGTGCTGCCCTAAGGTTGTTTATATTAGGTGATGCACGAGTTTTAAACAGGCTAGCTAATTTAAATAAACACAAACATAATCAGCAAACAATGAATTGCAATGGGTATACAGTAATACCTCAACAATAATTATTCATACACTGTATCAGCTGTATGTTTCTAATATAAACACTGACTGTGTACAACTGTTCGACTCGCTGTTTCATCGGTGTATGACATTTGCAGACTGCAGACTGCATGAGGCAGCAAGACTGTAAATTGAATGAAACCAAAAATATCGTAATAAAGGTGGCGTCATCATCAACATTACCTTGTTCCGAGAAGTACATGTTAGGCCTAGAAGCAAAGTTTATATTTTTCACGCAAATTACACCGACTTCATTCCTAAAGGAATTATTGGCTGCTCTTCTCGTATTGAATTAGAACAGAATAATGTCTGCCAATGTCACAAACTCGCTCATGAATCCATAGCAACAGGCTAGCAATTTAGCCTGCACCACAGACGAAACTAAACTCTCGTTATATAAGTCTGTCTGTGAAACAGAGCCGGAATCCTTATTCTTATGAGCAATGATTGGCCTGTTAAAAAAGCCATTGTCGATTTGCCTATTTAGAAATTCAAAATGCACTTCCAGTAATTCGTCGAGTCCAGGTAGGATCTGTTCAGTTTAGATTATTTGGCATATCCCTAAATACTGCTAAGATGATGAGTACTCTGGATTTCAAGAGACTGGTTTTGGGGGTTTGAAATGGGTCTTGACAAACTGCGAGCCAGTGAGCCATGCGAGCCACGCGAGGCATCGGTGAAAAAAAGGAAACGCAAGTAAAAACTGCAATTTTACACATGAGGAGTTGAGCACTCATTATACTGATAGAGGCTGGAGTAGTCAATTGATAAAAATCAGTATCGGTAAAAATCGATAGCAATCAAGTGATTTTTATCGATTGATAACAGAAATCGGTGAAATTTGATAAATTAAATCGCTGTGTCACTTCGATATTATCGATTTTTCATGATTTTAACGATTTATAACGGTAAGTCCGACATTGTTGTTTTTTGGCATAAGTTAAATATTACAGCTGAGAAAACACATGCAAAAGTAACAACTGATCAACAAGCATGAAAATAAGAAATGTGGAAACTATTCCAGACACAAGATTCTCTCTAGAACCGTGACCCTTTTGCACATAATAACAAAAACAGTTCAGTTTAATTATTTTCGCAGTTCTGGCAGGTAAGTCAGTACCACAAGAAATACAACCTTACATAAAAGATTCCCACCCTGAATTTCAGACATCCTCTAAAGAGTCAAAGGGATGCCTGAAATTCAGGCTAAAAGATTTCCCTATATACCTTTTCACTGTTTTCCGTTATCAATTGATAAAATCACTTGATCGCTAACAACTTTTATCAATTTCAAATTTTATCTATTGGCTACTTCAGGAAGTAACTACATGTGGAACTGAAGTTATTTTGAAAGGGTGGCAGATCTAAATTGTGAAAAAACTGGGCGCCTACAAACCTGGCCAATATTGGCCATCAAAAGAAGACTTGAAAGTGGGTTTTAAAGAAAAAAAAAATTTTTTGTTAAAGTGATAATAAATTGTTTGATCCTTCGACTCTCAATTGCAACTCAATTGCCAACAAATTCATCATATTCTCTTGATTTTGGTTCCTTCTCTACTTTTTATCTTCAGAAATTTAAACCAAAGTATTGTTTCAAGAAGATTTTGCACAAGGAGAAAGTACATTTCCTTGTTTCTTTTTCTGTGTAAAATGAGGTTGACAGGCCTACACGACTCCCCAGCACATGTTTAAAATAGCCTTTTTAAGGTTTGGCTCTCGCAAGTATGTCTTTGAGCGACCGCCCTCTTTTCTAAGATATGAGGGTCAGTTTTTTGTAGATTTCGCTCAGTAATGGTTGTTGTTCTATTAAATGCCAGTTTTTCATGAGAATTTGCTTTAGGTTAGGCACTGATGGTTGGTATTGTGTGACAAAAGGCAAGATTCGTAGGTTTGTCTTTGGTTTCTGTTGAAGGGCTAGTTTCCTGTCTTTGAAATTCACCTGTGAGAGAGTTGTGTTAATGAGGTCCTGGGTAACCCCTCTGTAGCAGATGCGCTTTGAAATTTGTAATTTTCTCTTCAAATAAAAAAATTATTATTTTGGAAGAGTTTGTTCTGAGGAGTCGGAGGGCTTCCCCTTTAATGAAGCCTTTTTTAACTCCTTGCAGGTGACAGGAACCAAAATGGATATACTGAAATGTCTTAGTTGGTTTGAAATGAGTACGCACATCAAGGATTGCGTCTCTTTCGAATCTTTCCCCTTTGTCCAATGAATGTTGTTTCCTTATTGGAAATTTCAGCCGTAAACTTGATCATAAGGTGATGATTGTTTGCTTGTTCAATGAAATGTTCTATTCTGTCTCTGTTTGTAGTCCAGAGCGAGAAGATTTCGTCTATGTAATGTTTCCAAACGAGCGGTTTAAAAAGGCTTTGGCTAAGGATTTCCGTCTCTACCTTGTTCATGAATATATTAGAAAAGGCGACTGCCATTTTCGTGCCCATGGCCGTACCATGTGTTTGAAGGTAGTTTTTTCCATTAAACTGGAAAGAATTTTCTTGGAGAATTAGCCTGAGCGCTCGTTTTAGTAGTTGTGTAGGGATAGGAGGTTCGTTTCTACAGAATATTTCGTATGCTCTGCATACCGTGTCTATTCGCTCCTCTTGCAGAATATTTGGATACAAGCTCATAATGTCCATTGAAACAAGTATGACGTCCGCTGGGACTTTCGTATTTTCTATGAAATTAAGGAAGTCGGTAGTATCTTTAAGATACGACTTTTGTTGTTGTGCTATCGGCTGAAGGAGTTCGTCAACAAATGATGATAATTTCTCCGTTGGGCTATCACACCCTGATACTATCGGTCTGCCGACCGGGGAAGGCTTGTGTATCTTAGTGAGGGTGTAAAATTCTGGAATTTGGGGCGGATGTGGTGTTTGACAAAGCCATTTTTTAGTCGTGTCATCTATGTGATCCCCATTGTAGAGGTCGGTAATAAGTAAGTTGTTTAACTTTAAGGTTTGTCTCAGTGACCATGGGTGATGCAAGAGGCCTGTAGTTGTCCTTATTATCTAGTAGAATTTGAAGTGCGCCGAAATGATCCAGAACATGTATTTGAACAGGATATCTTGTGGTAATCCCGCAATGGCACCCTCTAGTTCAGACACTGTGTAATAATGGGTCCTGAAACCTGGGTTCAACCTTCATTCAGGAGACACATTAGGACATAAAAAGTTACTGACCACAACAGTCATTGATAAGTTTAAGTCTTCACTAGTCACAATGTTAACAGCTTTCAAAACACAAACTGTTTCACTTAAATCAATATACTACACTTGTGGGAATTCAATACACAACATCAGTTGACCTGCACCATTCTATACCTCTTATATTTCATTGGTCCCCTTTAATCTGCACTTCCATTGTTTTCAGGGATATGGGCATTGTTATGTCACAATCCCTATTGTTTTCCCAGCCAATCACAAACAATCTTTCTAATAGGTGCAGATCGCCCCCACAACATCACAGATATAAGTTAATCATGGTTTTTTACACATTATCTAATTGCTTCAAACAATCCCTGCAGCAGATTCTGAGTCAGAATAATTAAAGGAAAATATTTGTTGGTTAACAAACCCCAGCCCAAACTTCATTCACGGGACACTTGCTGTGGTCCTGAGGGTATCCCCTGAATAGCGTTTCCAGTGTATTGTAAAGCCTCCTCCCTTGATCGTTTGAGACAAAAACATGGCAGAATCTAATAATATAAGTAGAATATAAAAAAGTGTATATTTATAGTTATGCACGATATAACGTGATCTAAACTCCTGGAGTATACTGTAAGTAATTTAACATATCAATTAGTTTGTCGACCTAGGTGAAATCAAAGTAAACCTGAAATCAGAGACCATAACATATATACCGTAGGATTCAAAATCAAGAATTAGTGTTTATCTAGAACTTATTTTTCTTGTCAAAAAGGAAGCCCAACGAGCTGCAAAAGCTCAGAAGCAGGCTGATGCAGGAATTAAGCACAAATCCAGCAGTGAAGGTAAGGTTCCATGATTAGTTTGTCAACATGGAAGAATTAGTGTTGTAGTCAATTCTGGTACATTAGTTGGCCACCTGACTCATCTTGATGATATTAGAGAAGAAAGAGTTACTAATTGCTGCGGAGCGACCGAAGCGAGCGAGCAGCAACATAATCAGGATTTAAAGGAAATATATAAGGGGCGACGAATTCTCAAATTCATCACATTTTACCATAATGCATTGCATTTAACCACACTTTTTACCACAATGCATTGCATTTAACCAGAGTGCATTGCGCCATGAACAACTCAAATAAAAACACGGGGAAGTTCGGTGGGTGAGAGAGTGCATCGTTTGCTACTCAGACTTAGAGTTTTCTTTGTGACAAATTTTCTACAGCACGGTTAGAGGTCTTACCAAATTTTAAGACACGCAGGAGTCTTTCAGATGAGTACGATGGTTAACTTGGGGATTGGATTTCAATTCAAGAGCCTTTTTTGACTCAAGAGCCTTTTTTGCTCTTCGACTCCGCAACACGGGGGATATACAAATTCCAGCTTGCTAGAAGGTGATGTGAAAGTGAGAAAATGTCATGCAATGCTATTCTTAAGAAACTGTATGAGCCGAAAATGGATGTGATTTTGACCATTCGCTTCAAAATAACAGCGGAAATCGAGATAACAAAACATATGTTTTGTGTCCTACTTTGCAGACGAGGACGTGTATCGGCGTTTTGAAAAGCATAATTATGTTCTTTCATTCATTTATTGCCATGGAATATGCGTTTACATTGTTTTTTCACTGTTAATAGCTCGGTTAATGCGGCTGGCGATCATCTTGCCGGCGGAAGTTTCATGGAAAAGGAATAAAATGAAAGACTTTTCCTAAAGACTACGTAATCAGTCTCTGTGGTGTAGTGGTTAAGTGTAGTCGCGTCGAGTCGAAGGTGCCGGGTTCGAATCCTACTGAGTTATTTATTCCTTCTTTCTTTTTTTTCCCGTTTTTTGTGTTGTTGTTTTCTATAAATATATAGCTAAATAACTGTTACTTAATAAAGTGCAACAAACAGCAAGAAAAGTATTGTGTTTCCAGAGAAAATATCGTGCACCGTATATTAAATATATTGATAAACGATCTGAATTTCTATTATTTCCTACAATTTACTGTGGGAAAACCAGAGTTGATAACCACTTGATCATTTTCTAAACAACGTTCCCACGAGTTCTTTCTATAGACTGATAGTAATTATTATAGTACTTTCCAACATGTAAATAGGACATTCAATGTCATTTTTGATTCTTTAAAAGTCTCACTGCCTAACTAATGCCAGTATCAACAGAATGTGCCGCAGCATTACTATCTTTTAGATACCCTAGTTTAGTCCTTTCACAATGATATAACAGACAATGATTCAATTTACAGGATAGGAAAAAAACTTTCTAAACACAATCTTTCATTTCCTTTGCAGAATCCTTATCATGGATGGGTGTTTTGTCACATGATTTATACTTTTTATCACATGACAGAACATCCTGATAGATTGCGGCGGGCTTATAACTAGCATCCTTTTCAAAGTCGATTCTCGACAAAATACTTTGGTGGCCTCCCTAACTCTTCTCTTGAACATGTCCACCTCTCTCATGAGGATCAAAGAGGAGGACATATCCAAGGTGTGGCCTTACCACTTTAGATTATCCCCCACTGCCATTGTGGATGCTCTTGTTATTGCAATATGTTCCATGAATCTCATTCCAAAAGGTCTAGCTCTCTCACCAAGGTAGAAGTCATCACAGCCCTCTCACTGGTTTCCGTACACCATCCAATGCTGCCCGATGGTGTTGAAAGGCTTGTGGGATGGGCCAACTCCTTGTTTTTTGAAAACTTTTGTGAACTTTTTTTGCCGGGCTCCAACATTGAACAGGGATGTTGGTTACAAACTCCCCGTGATCTATCAGGACAATTTGTCATGACATCCGCAATATAAATCACTAGGTGATAAAATGCCCAAATCCATCACTTGATAAAGATTCTGTGATGGAATCAAAAACTTGTGCTTAAAAAGTTTTCTGCTATCTTGTAAATTGAATCATAATTTATTAAATCTTGAGGGTGTCATTGGCTATGCAATTGAGATACCACTTGATCCCACAACGTTTGGTGTCAAAACATCTTGTCACATTCACTTTTCCCTTTAGTGCCCAATCAAACTCTGAGCTCAACTTAAACATTGAATTTTGCCTACATTTTTTTATGTAGGCCATTGTGTTCAAGTTGCACATGATCTTCAAGCTGATGATGAGAAAGTTCAAAAGAAGGTTGCTAAGAAATTAGCAAGGCAACAGGTGAGAACAAAAAGATAAGACATTATTGTGAACAGCAATGTCACACTGTGGTTTGCTTGCAGTGGAATACCCTGTGAGAAGAGGCTTCTTTATGGCATGCTCTTAACATGACAAAGTTCTTAGCATCGCTGAAATTTGCGTAGTCATTCCATCACAGAGACTCGAAATTGTTAAGAACCTGTTTCCATTCAAAATCTTGCATACAGAGTCCAATAAAATACTGGTCCCAGGTGGTCAAGGAGACTGAATAAAAAGAGATTCAAATTATTTATTAGTTTTTTCAAGTCTAGTGGGTTGTTCTAAAGATTATATGAACTTCAATAAGTTATGAATTTGAGCTAGTGTCTTGTCCATAAAATTGTTTGCCATGGGCCTGACAATTTTGAGCAAACCTAATTTCCTCTGATCAGTCCTTGTGGCCGGGGACATTTCATGAGAGAGATGGATTTTGGACCATAAAATACTGTCCATACTGATAATGTAAATCTATGTAGAAGTGGTGGTGTCATTTGTTGATGGATTATGATCAAATTACTTTTTCAGCTTTTATTTACTTAATTATATGATTTGATCATTTTTTCATTTACGTTGGCACGATTGGCAACCTTTGCCAAGTAAATATAGAAATAAAAATAGCTATTGTTTACAAATGACAGGGAAAATTTGACCCTCCATAATTATTATGATTTCAGGGACAAAGGTGATGACACGCTCACAACACACTAACACAACATGCTCAGTGTGTCCAAAGACACACTTTACGTGCATAATTAATTACTGAAACAATCAATGACACACAATGTTTTGTTTCGGTGTATTTAGCACGCTTAGTGTGCAAGTTGATGTAGAATAACACACTAAAGTAAAACAAAACATACCTCGAAAAAAATATAACTCTTGTACAAACCAAATCCTTTATTGGATAGCCTCTATGCCAACCTCCAGTGAACAAACAACAAAAGTCCCTGCTCATTCTGTGCTTTTGGAATGAAAAGGTTAAACGTTTGAGCGCCAGCTCTAGGCAAAAAATTTCTGCTGATAAAAGTAAACAAACAAGCACTTGAAATTCATTTTATTTTTATTTTATTTTATTAGCTTTTCCCTGATGAAAACAAAAAACTGAAGATATGCAAATACTAGTAATAGGAATGTAACAATGCACTTATAGTAACTTAAATAATTTGGGCAGGGACACCACAACAGCTAAAGCCAATTACTGTGGTCCCAATTCACTTAAACTTCTGCTGTAGTTCAGATAAAGTTTCCTGTCTAAAAATGACCTCAAATGAATGTAAAAGTCTTAAAAAAACCTTCAGTATTAAACTCATGACTGTTTCCTCCTGCTTTTATCTGCTTTTGGAAACATTAGGTTGCTGTTGTATGTATTCAGAAAAACCTTTCAATGTGTGTAAAAGCAAGAGGTTTCAAATAATTATGTTTGACATGCAAATTTTAATTGCATTGGTCTGCAACAATTGAAGCAGTAGCATTTTCTGTCTTACTACGAAATCTGTTCAGTCATGCTAGGGGAACCTGAGGCTTTTCAAAATTACAAGGTCTTCAGTGTTATTTTCTTGCACATTTTACGAAAGTGAGAATTTTTCTTATTCCTTTCTCCATCAAATTTTTGAATCCAAAAATTTTAGGTTTTCTTTTTCTAT